GTAGGGACTGAGCCGAGAAAGGGCTCGGGTTCGGCTTCCGACTTGCAACGGTTCCAGACAGACGCTGAACAGCGCTGTCATTTCCGAGTATCTGCTGAGATAGTGCCGAGCCGATGTTCATCTGGCTCACGTGCGAACAATTCATTGCGACGAAACAGTTGCGCCCTGTAATCCTGCGTCATAATATGCGTTGATCATTAAGATTGCTGCAAACAAGCTGGAAGCTGTCGGCAGCTCCCGGGTCTGAAGCCAACACTCGGGAAAGAAGCACCGCACACACACATACACCGTTCGGCGACTCAAAGTCTCAGAACCTCCCGTCAGCAACAAGTCGGGAATAGAGCACCAACCCCCGCAGCGTCATTGCACAGGACCCTTCAGCAGGTGCCGGAACCTGTCGAGTACATCGGCGTCTGTCGTCCAGTCTCCAGCGTCAAACGGTACGGCTTGCGCCCTCCAACTCCACCCGAACAGTAGCGGGCAGCTCAACATCCTGGGCCACTCACTGACGGACCACCACCCACCTCACTCACTGCTGCGAATGCGCTGCACCTGCACCGCACCACTGCAACCCGATCCTGGCGCCTCCTGCCAAAAGAGACAGCCGACAGCTCGCATCATTTTGCTCTCGTGCTCCGTCCCGCTCCACCTCGGCGCTTTTTCGCAATATCTCAGTCTCCAACTGCCCCGACTGCGCTCCTCCTCCCGTGCCGACGCTACCTTGCCTTACCAACCAGACCAAGACTAAACTACACTGCTCCTGCAACCACCACTACTACCACCACCGTTCTCACCAACTCCTCTCTTCGTCTCCCTCTCTCTCCTCCCCGCGCCTCCGCCCTCCGCCCTCACCCCTCACTTCCCAATCCCGTGTATATGGGAGCGCTCGCCCTACCCGATCCGTTTTCCACTACTCGCACTAGGTCTCGAATCCCCCGCAAGGCCAATGGGCTGCGATAACCGCTAGTCGCTCAGTGTCACGGCGGCGTGGGAGCGTTCCCCGCATACCGGGACACCTGGGAAGGTCCAGCAACGATCCATACCTGACCGACAGGTACAAACGATATACACCACAATTACCACCGAAAGAGTCACTGATCACGAACGACTTACTGCGACATCTTGACCAACAACGCCCGCACCTGCTTGTTCGGTATCCAGATATCTGATCCCATCTGCTTTGTACACAGCTTTTTCGAGAGTGAACCAAACCCCGGAGCACGGCGCCGATTTCTTTTGATCTCTACCCAGCACAGAACTTCGCCCACACCCCGCAATCCTGACCGCCGACCAAGCTCAACAGTGAGAGGGGATGTCTCACGACGAACACCACGATCCTCAACGAGGCGCACCGCACCCGCCAGAAGAAGAATATGGGCCGTATCCCACTTCGACATATCCCAACTACAGCAGCTCGCGAGCCTACCCAGCCCCGGTCCGCGCCGCGGCCGTAGCCACCGTTGAGCAAGCCGCCGCTGCCATGCCCGACACCACCATCACCCTCTTCGAAAGATGGGCTGCCGGCGCCTCCGACTCTCAGTTCAACGCACTCGCCGGCGCCGTCGGAGGCTTCACCTCGGGCGTCGTCACCTGCCCGCTTGATGTTATCAAGACCAAGCTGCAGGCCCAGGGCGGCTTCAATCCTATCGCAAAAGGCAGACACGTCGGACACCCGAAGCTGTACAATGGCCTGCTTGGCACCGCCGGCGTCATTTGGAGGGAAGAGGGCATCCGAGGCATGTACAGGGGGCTTGGCCCGATAGTGTTGGGCTATCTGCCCACCTGGGCTGTTTGGTTTACGGTCTACAACAAAAGCAAGGATTGGATGAAGCAGCGCCATGGTAAGGGAACGGGAGTGGGGGTGGTTTCAAGGAGAGCGCTCCGCTGACAACAGCCACAGACAACGCGGTGTTTATCAACTTTTGGTCATCCATCATAGCCGGTGCCAGCAGTACCATTGTTACGAATCCGATATGGGTTATCAAGACCCGCCTGATGTCGCAGAGCGTCGCACACGATCCTGGCAAGCACTACTCGCAGTTTCCGAAGTCGTCTAATACACCAACTTCGAGACCGACGTTGCACAGCAACTGGCATTATTCGTCGACGGTGGACGCTGCGCGCAAGATGTACACGTCGGAAGGCATCCTCTCCTTCTATTCCGGCCTGACGCCGGCCCTGCTGGGACTTACTCACGTAGCTGTCCAGTTCCCCGCTTACGAGTACCTGAAGACCAAGTTCACCGGTCAGGGAATGGGGGAGCCTGCGCACGGCGATGCGCAGGAGTCGCAGTGGGTGGGCATTCTCTGTGCTTCGATATTGTCGAAGATCATGGCGAGCAGCGCGACGTACCCGCACGAAGTCATCCGGACGAGGTTGCAGACGCAAAGGAGGCCAGTAGCCGGAGCGGAATACCTCCTGGGTCTCGGCATCAAGGTGCCGGAGTCGATGCTTGGCGACGAAGCCAAGAAGCAACAGCCGATATCACCAAAGTATCGCGGCGTGGCTAGCACCTTCCGGACGATCCTCAAAGAGGAAGGATGGAGGGCATTTTACGCTGGCATGGGCACTAACATGATGCGAGCGGTGCCGGCCGCGACGGTGACGATGTTGACGTACGAATTTGTCATGAAGCAGCTGAATCAAGCGAGGGACGAGGGCAAGAGGAAGAAGACGAAGGAACTCGAGCCATGAGCTCAGCCGCCATTTCGGCCGATTTTTCACACGCGCAAAATCGAGAGCGGCGTTGAATTTGCTTAGTCAAAGAAGGAGGATGACAAGAGACTACCTATCAAGATCAGCCATTTGCGGTACATCAATGCAGGAGAGAAGGAAAGAAGCTGTTGAGATTAGGAAAACGGGAATGGGAATTTTCCAGATACCCTTAACTTTGGTCGTCAGGTTATAGACAAACTCGATTCAGGTCACGCGAAATAGCGCATCCTCAAACACACTTCACAGGAGAGGCAGCGACATCTGTCCCTCTCACCTCTCTCTCTCTCCTTTCATTTTTTTTCTAGCATCCTGAACCCGTTCTCTCACCACAGAGCGTTTATTTACCCATGGAGCATGACAAAAAGGACCGTATGTTGTTATTTGGGGCGGCACAAATCTTTTGTAGCATAAATATAAGTCTCGGGCGCGGAGTATCTACGGGGGACAATGACCGGTAGCGCAAATATAATGCGAAAGCCCTTTTTAGTTTCTCACTTGGTATCTCGTGCTGCGTTTATAGACAGTATGTCAATGACGCGTAGGGGGTATATGTTACATGAAGGTCGAGTGGCACGACGAAAAACCGGCGTATTTCAGCGCGGCTCTGCTTGCCCCGTTCTCCTGCTCTCATCCGCCGCTGACATGGTGGTGAGGAGCATAGGCAGGCACCTGCGATGAATAGGCGTTTGCGATGATGGATGCTTCTCCGTCCCCGCATCACGACTTGGGCTCAGGCGGCGCGGCAGGTCTGCTGCCGCCGCTGGCGATGTGGCCCTGGTTCTGGCCGTGACCTTGGCCGTATCTCTGGGAGGGGGTGTCAGTGAGAAGCAATCGCATGGGATCGGGGAGGTGGATGGGGGGCTGCAGACGGCTTGGTCTCGCGCTGAGCGGATCGAGGAGCGGGTGTACCTGGTTTAGGTCAGCGGGGACTCTTTTCCTTCTGAGGGCCGGGGTGTTTTCCATCTTGGCGCGGCGAGGCGAGGTAGGAGTGCCAGAGATGTGAGAGCCGGAGTAACTTACGCGAATAGGAGGCAGGCCATGGTGAAGGCCGCCAAGGGAGCGGTTATCGTCTTTTGATGAGGCCATTAGGAGATGGGGACGGTTTGTGAGGAGGGGAGTTGGAGATGGGGGAAAGAGATATGTGATGTGATGTGACATGCGATATGGTTTGATTTCTTACCTTTGGCGTCAGGTTCCCTTTGCGCATCTTGGAGGAAGGCATCTCACTTCATTCTCCCACTGGTGGTGTTTTGGGAGTGGTTGTTGGAGGTTTCGACCGGTGTAAGTGAGTTTTGAGGGTTTGAATGTGGTCTCATTGAGGGTGGTGAGCTGATTGGGTGTTTGGGACGTGTGTGGTTGCGGTGGGGTTATGCGGGTAGTGGGGCGGGAGGGGAGATGTGGTTCTTGGTAGGTGCATATCCTGGATGGAGAGGAGATATAGATGGACGGGACAAGGTGAGTGGCCTTATTGAGAGTAGACGAGCTTTGGCTATTCTTGAATATTGCTTTGGGTATTCGACGCTGAATCTTGGGTTTCTCGAAAGGGGGCTATGCCGGTGATGGTGATCTCTGGCTAAGCGTCTTGACGTTGAACACTTACACAGGCAGATGGCTGCAGAAGCAATAGGTGCTTGTATGAAGAGTCTTTTCCCTTTCTTGTTTAGATGCCATAGGGAATTCGATGTACATTTTTCACATCATGTAATCTACTATTTTGTTCTCGAAAAGCCTATCATGAGTTACTTCGGCCATGTCACTCAGTGTTGAGGTTCCTATATCGAAAGACGACGCCCACTTCCCTCACCGTCGCTGCAGAGAATCAGTCGTCACTCATGTACAACTGCACAATCCAAAACATTGCAGAACAGTTCTTTTTCTTCCCATTGCAAGACTGGATGTCCGGCAAGCAACATGTCAAGCTCATGCGTTCGGCGCATAGAAATGGCAGGCGCAAAAGCTCGGACCCACCTTTCCTAGCAGGAACGTTGCGCCTACCTACCCCGCGAGTCGTCCGAACACGGCCGCACATCATCAAAACTTCACTCAAAGCTCGCGCAACACCACAACGTCAAATAATTCACCAAAACACCAAAAATGAGATCGTGAGAAACCCACGAGAGCAAAAGAATAATGACAAGAGTGGGATTCGAACCCACGCCAATTACTTGACTAGCACCTGAAGCTAGCGCCTTAGACCGCTCGGCCATCTTGCCGTGTTCTGTTGGTGAAGACTCCTCCCGGAGTGGATACCATGTAGGGTTAAGCTGGGGTAGGCGACGCAAAGGTTACAACACCATCGAGGCGTCCGGCGTACCATTCGGCTCACCAGCAGATCCGACATCAAATCCAGCGTCTAATGAAGAGTCGACATCGTTTATAGAAATCTGGATAGTCCAGGCGTACCTTCCCGCGTCACTGGGGATAACGCTCAAGGTTGTGAGGACCCGCCGATGTTCAGACAGCTGAAGTATCCGAGAGGCTGGACAGTTTGGTGATGCGACACCCTCCCCGGGTTCACACTGGATGGCCAATTGAACGGCAGGGTGTGACGAGCGTTGATCCGGCCAATATTCCCGCCGTTCAATCACAGGCCGAACGAGAAAGTAGATGCGACCCCCCAACAAAGACGCGGTATCCCAATTCCCGAGATTCCTCAGCAGTGGAACACCTATGGGATCCTCATAGTTGCTAAGCAATATTGCCCATCGTTCTGAGGGCACACGGTTTGACATGACAGACACGAGAAACAGCTTCCCGACCTGTAGCTCATTGTCTCCCTGCAATGAGATTTGCAGCAATTGGGGGGTTAGGGAGATTTGGTCGAACCTCTCATGGTGAAGGAATACGCTGTCCATGCCGTCCCAAAGGGCATCAGGAGTAGCCTTGGAAATCTCGGTGTGATGTAGCCATTTGAGTGTGCCGTGGTCCTGATTCAACCGAATGAAGACAGCAGAGCGGAATCTCTCGTCTTGATGCCCGATGTGATCCTCAAAACTGATGTGTCTAAGCAGTTTTAGCAGTCGAGGCTTGCTATCGAACAGCACGGCCTCGTTGAAGAAAGGCATGGCGAGCATCCAGGGCTTGTGGCGGATAAAACCTGACGGGGTCTTGGATACGTAGATGCCAATCGGTCTTCGAACTGCCGGTATTCCTTGTACATCGCTGCACTGCAGTAACAACACATACTCTCTCCCTTTTGAGGCTTCAGCCCCATCCTCAACCAACTCTTGCATGTGCAGAGTAGTGGAGACCATCAAGTTGGCCCTCGTCACAACAACATCGACATCGTCGATGAGCGGCGGCGTGTTTACTATCGTCCGATACAAGCAGGCAGCGAATTGGGCTGGTGATTCGGCGAATACGCCATCGTATGACCGCTGCCGTCCAGGATCCGTTGTCTCTGACGTCCAGGCCAGTAGAGACAGGTCGTTCGTCTCTTGCAGAATTTCCGACTGTAGGCGTGCGAAAGCCTTTTGTCCTTCCCCGTAGAGCAGGGGCATGTTGATATCGAACAGCCCGAGCAGGCAGTATGCTGCATCCTCAATTCGAGTAGTTTGCCGTCTAGAAGCCCACGACATGCGAGTGGCGACTGGTATTTTCTTCGGCGACACCTTATTGAAAAGGATAATGCTGTCAATGCCCGTGATGGAGGTGAGTATTATAGCCAGTGTTTCTTTATACCCAAGTTGCTCCCAGACATCATTGTAGAAAATGATGTTCTTTGGCGCTACTAGCTCCTGTAAAGTCCATCCTCGCGTGAACCATCGGGAAGTTGCTAAGCTCTCGGGAAACGCACTCGAGTTTGCATCGTCGTGGACATCAGCCAGATATGCAAAGCATACTTTTGACGACTGATACCACCGGAACATGGAGTTGATAGCCTCGGAGAGTTCAGCACTCGACGACTTGTCGATGCAGCAAGTATCAACCCAGGCATAAGGAAGGCCCCGCGACTTGGCGAGGCGGCATGTTGCGGCAATCTTTGGAAACCCTTTTTTGCTTCTAACAGCGTCGGTGAGGTTCCTGAAGTCCTGGAAGGAAACTTCCTCCGTGCCCCAAGTGTGCGAGAGAATGGCGTACGGAACGGTGGGATTCAGGCGCTCTTCCAGCTGAAGATTGTCGACGTTGATGAGCCACATGGTAGGAGTAAAGTAGTTCGCAGACTACCGAGCAACCAACGCCGGGATGATCTGGGTAGAGAAGGACGTCGCGTTCTAGGTTCTGCGGGGGCCAGATATGACGCTGCAGGCTTTCGAGCGACGGAAGGTGTGGAGAAAAGGGCGACATTTTCTCGACTACGAGATGAAGAGTCGCTGGAGTAGAGGCTGACCAATGGTGTTGGTGAAAGAAGCTCATCTGCAGCCAACACGACCACTTGGAAATACAGCAGAGACCTGGAGGACTCAAGTAGCATTGGATGCGCGCAAAGCAGGCGGTTTCCTTTTCTGAAGAGACATCGTGGCTGTTAGCAAGCCATATTCTCATCGCTGGAGCGATGAGACAAACGCGGACGGGATCTCGATGGCAGGGACAGAGGTAGAAGTAGGGCGTCGAGACACGAGAAAGGGCCCAACGCCTGTCAATGACGGACACGACGCGGGTGAAACTGCAGAGCATGTGGCCCTAGGCCCAGCCATCTGGTGTTCCCCCACACGAGCCCGGCAGCGCCAGAACGTGCGTTCGCACATAGGCTAAGACCAAGACGGGGACGGGGGTCGAGTAACGCACGGCCACTGGACGAAAGCTTAGGCCGGGGTGGTGGGAAAGAAGCACCGAACCAGGAACGCAGAGAGCGTTGAGAGGTGGACGGCAGGGAAACAGCCGAAGGCACGAAATCTCCTTCAGAGCAGGAGAGAGAGAGAGAGAGAGAGAGAGGCGTGTTCCCCGTCTGCCACTGCCGTTCCTGCCCCAACGAAGTCGCAGCTGCAGTTGCAGGGCACCTGGGTTCGGGGACCCAGACACGCAGATTCCGAGTCCTCTTGTGCTCTTGCTACACCACTCATCGGGCAACCGCAGCTCCTCCCTCCTCCTCCTCCTTCTCCTCCCCCAAGCTGCGCGCAGCGTATTTTCCAGACTGCCCCGAGCTTAATAATTGACACCACAGTCCGAGCATGGGTGCAGTGTAATGAAGGCAGGGTACATCTTCATCGTACCTTGCCTTACCGTCAGGTAGGTAGCATCTGGGTGCCCGCACCGCACCGCACCGCTCCGCGCGCAAAATGCAGCACGCAGCATCTGCATCGCATCAGCCCCCTGGTCCCGGCTGAAGCTCTACCCATCGCCGCCTGTGATTGGCTCATCCCGAGGCCGACCTCTTGAACCTCCTGTTTACCTCTCAACTTCCCTCGACTCCCGCAACCCCCTCCCGTCTTGCTGCAATCTCTCCAGACCTGTCCATCGCATCCAGATCGCATCATCAGCGCATCACCCAAGTCCAAGTCGCACATCACAAGCGACCCCCTTTGTAAAATCGCCGGCATCTACACCTTAATCACTACCACCAGCTCCCCCAACCCATCCTCCAGACGCAATGCCCGTCGAGCTCCGCAAGCGCAAAGCCCCCGAGCCTGCCCCGGCTCCTGCTCCCAAGAAGGCCTCCTCCAAGGTCGCAAAGACCACGGAGAAGGTCAAGAGCGCCGTCAAGGGAAAGCCCGCAAAGGCCGCTCCCGAGAAGCCCGTTGAGGAGCCCGTCGAGAAGGAGAAGCCCGTCGCTGCCAATGGCTCCGACAAGAAGGTCAAGGCCGCCAAGGGCGAGACCATCAACCTAGACGGCTTCGGCGGCGAGGTCGAGACCAACGACGGCGACAAGACCACTCTGAAGGAGCTTGTCGACAAGAGCAAGGCCGGCGTCGTCCTCTTCACCTATCCTAAGGCCTCGACTCCTGGCTGTGAGTACTCCCCAATATGCCGCGACATCCGCTCGGCAATATCACGTCTGGGTGCACAGCGTGCTGATAATCGCCTTGATACCCAGGCACTACGCAAGTCTGTCTCTTCCGAGACTCCTACGAGCCGCTTACCAAGACGGGCTTGGCCATCTACGGCTTGTCCGCGGACTCGCCCAAGGCCAACACCACCTTCAAGACGAAGCAGAAGCTGCCTTACCCACTGCTCTGCGATCCCAGGGCCACCCTCATCGGTGCCATTGGGTTAAAGAAGCACCCCAAGGGCACCCAGCGTGGCGTCTTCGTGGTGGACAAGTCCGGTAAGGTCCTCGCCGCCGAGCCCGGCGGCCCTGCTGCCACCGTCGAGGTTGTCAAGGCGCTCGTCGAGGAGAGCGGCGATGCCGAGCCTGCTGCCGAGACTGCTGCCGATGCCAAGGAGGAGCCGGCCAATGGTGACGCCAAGGACGAGAAGGAGGATGGCGCCGACGAGGCCGAGAAGAAGGATGAGAAGAAGGATGAGAAGAAAGACGAGTAATTATAGTGCTGCGATGTAAGTATAATCTAGTGTTGAGAGTGCGTTCTTGTAGGAATGCTCTTGAGGAGGGATATGGGACGGTTTTCATGTATCCGCAAGGTAGTTGGGAATTGATTTAATGGCGTTGGTCCTGCTTCAATTGCACATCATCCCCTCTGTCTCGACGGCAGAGCATCGCCAAACCTTGATGGCGATGCACGCCAAAGGCCAATCTCCTGTGAACAAACCCCGGAAATTCCAGCGTTGCAGGGCAGATTTGCGTGAGAGAGGTGAAGTGGGTACTTTCTGTTAAAGTCGGGTTGCAAATTGAAGCACGGCTATTGCTTCGACCGGCTAAACCCCGGCTACCCTCTCCCGCCAGAAACTGGAGCACGCTCTCGACTCGGGTGCCGGATCACCACCAACATTCAAGCTCGCCCATCACCGACCGACCGAATACCCCTCTCCGCTCAACCCACGACGTCGCCAAGATGGCCTCCAAGGCAGTTGCGAAAGCTGCGGCTGGCGGCATTGTGGAGATCTCTAAGGTACGACCGCCCGCCCGGCCTCAATTGGCCTCTCCCCGACGAAACCACCACCACCACCACCCTCCTTCATCACCAAACCCTCCCCGACAAACGACCCAACTACCCATGCCTCAAAGACACCACCAGATAGCTAACACACAGCCCCCAAACCACAGAAACACACCCTCCAGTCCACCGGCGTCTGGGAACGTATCCGCCGCTCCCTCGCCATCGATCCGAACCGCTCTTCCGGCGTGCCCTTGAACCCGACCTTCCGCAACCCGGCACCCGGTTCCCTGGACCCCCTCCAGTACGACGACCCCGTCACCGTGCCCGCGGGCGACATCGCCGACAACCCGTACTGGAAGCGCGATTCCCGCCGCAACTACCCGGCCCTCAGCGTCGTCAACCAGGCCGACGTCGTCGGCCTGCTCTCGGTCGGCTCCGCGGCCAACCCGCGCGTCGAGCTCATCGGCGAGGCCGGCGAGAAGGCGCTCGTCGCCGCGCAGCAGGAGGCCCAGACCACCGGCATCGCGGCGTACCTCGAGAAGAACGGCGCCGCCGGCGCCGTCGAGGCGGGCAAGGAGCAGCTCTTCACCAACGGCCTGCCGCCCACGCCCAGCGGACACGACCTCAAGAGCGGAAAGTGGGACGTGCACAAGTACAAGGTCAACGAGGACCAGTCCTACGGCGAAGCGTGAGTCCTTCTTCTAAGCTGGCTGGTATTGATCGTGGATTCGCTAACGTTGGGTGCTGCGTAGTTACCCCTGCAGGACGTTCACATAGGCGAGTGGACTTGAGGGTTTCTGTATGAGGGGAGTGGCAAAGCTGTAAATATGACGGACACTAGATTCCATTAAACGTTTTTCTCAAGTTTTCTAAAAGAATGTCCCAAAGTTGTCCCACGCCTGCCCTTATGCTGTCGTCCTGCATCTTGGGGTATCTCGACTCCCGCCACTCATGGTCTCTCTACTTGTGGGAAGCCCATGCATTCGACAAACACCGCGCATGCTGAAAATGAAACGGCTCAAACAAAGCTTCATGCCTCATTTGCCTCCGCAACCTTCGGAGCCTCAGCAGGCTCCTTGGCCGCAGCCCCCTCCCCCGTCATCCGCTCAATGATCTTGACCTTGCCCTGAGCCCTCTTGAACCGGTCGTCAAAGTCGTTGACGGCGTCGTCGTTGTTCTCCTTGGACAGGGTCTCGGGCTCGACGAGAGCGAATGCCGCGGTGACGTTCTTCTCGAGCCGCGCGTTTGGCGCCAGCGGCGGCAGAGAGCACGTCTTTGATTCCTTCTCTTCCTCCGACGATGAAGCCCTGGCGCCGGCGGCCGTCTTTTGCGGGAGCGACAGCCTGTTGGCCCAGACGACGGAGCGGCCGTGTATCCTGCCGCTCTCGAGGAACTTCTCGTAGCCCTTTGCGAGGCCGACGGAGCGGCCCTCGATCTTGCCGGCGAGGATGCCGTCCGCGGTGCCCTGGCGGAAGCCCTCGGCGAAGAACTGCTCCTCGAGGTTGAGGACGTCGTCGAATGGGTCGTCCATGATTTATTTTCTTTGTAAGATGAGATGTGAATTTCGTTCGAGAACCCAAGCCGGCTTTGTTTTATGATTTTATGCTGGGCGCCTTGTCGCGTTGAGGCCAAACACCGAGGTTGAAGTTGATGGAGGGGCGATTTCTAATGGCGGGGCAAAATTAGTTTTGACTCAGCGACTTTTTGGCCCGAGTCTCCGACTCTCAAATCAAGCATTCAACGCTCAAACTGATGAAAACAAATAGGCCAATTTCACGATATTTTCACAGTTGTGCTTTGAAGTGAAGAAAACTTCTGTTCCAAGTGGATTGGGAATCAATTCTAAAAATTCTAAGTCTATTTAACAAAACAAAAGGAAGCGCCATTCTCATGTATCATCACTCATAAGGATCCTCTACTGCATACCAAACAGCATGCCGCCGTTGGCGCAGACAACCTGACCGGTACACCAAGCAGACTCTGCGGACACAAGCATACCGACAACGCCGGCGATCTCGCCCACGTACGCGGGGCGGCCGCCGGCCTCCTCGGCCTCGGCGACGAGCTCGTCCGAGTCGATGCCCTTGCGGGCGCGCATGAGGGGCGTGTGCTCGATGAAGCCCTTGATGAAGCGCTTGAACTCGGGGGTGTTGCCGGCGTACATCTCGGTGAGGACGGGGCCCGGGTTGACGGCGTTGACGGTGGCGTTCTCGGACAGCTCGCGGGCCCAGGTGCGGGTCATGGCCTCGAGGGCGGCCTTGGTGCCGCCGTAGACGCTCTGCTCGGGGAAGCCGGTGGACGAGGAGACGGAGGACATGTTGACGATGCGGCCGCTGCGGTCGCGCGGCAGGTAGGGCTGCAGGGCCTGGACGAGGAGGAGGGGCCCGAGGACGTTGACGCGGTAGGAGAGGTCGAACTGCTCGACGGTGATGTCCGGGAGGAGGTTGTTGTGGGCGACGCCGGCGTTGTTGATGAGGATGTCGACCTGGAACTTGCCGTCCTTTTGGAGGAAGTGGGCTTTGGCCGTCTCGACGAGGGAGCGGGGACCGGTGGGGGTTCCCATGTCGGCCTGGACGGGGAGGACGGTGATGTTGTGTTTTGTCTGGAGGTCGGCGGCGAGCTGGTCGGCGGGGGCTTTGGAGGAGGCGGAGGTGTAGCCTAGGATCAAGTTGCAGCCTTTGGACGCGAGGTTTTCCGCGATGGCGACGCCAATGCCTGGTGTTTTGTTAGTTGCTGTCTGAAGTGATAAGGTAGGCAGAGGACGGTATCGCACCTCGAGAGCCGCCGGTGACGATTCCGAGCTTTCCTTCGAGGGAACGAGCCATTGCTGCTGCTGTCTTTGATATTCGGATTATACTGAAATGTGACGACAGGAAACAGAGGCTAATGGGTCACGGAATGTTTGCAAAATGAGAGAAGAGAAGAATAGAGAGAGGTAGATTGGCAGGTTACAGCAAGACCGGAGCGAACAAGGTCACTCTTATACAACGACGCAGCTTGGGTACCCAACGTAAGAACTGGGACCCTTAGGGGAGCAAAAAAGCACAATCTCCTAAATCGGCAATGCTAGCAGTTCTCGTGACCGGACAGAGGCGCGCAGTTTGGAGGTGACTGGATTAACGACCCAATGGAACGCGTCCTCGTGGCAGGAAAGATCCTGGTGCGGCGTGTCCCTCGAGACGAAGCTCTCGGCGGGATATGCAAGCTACCCCGCTGTCGCAGAGCTGTCCAGGGGGTAAAGTGCTGGCTGGAGCTTGCCCCGCGGTGGTGGGACGGAGATGGGCGACCCCCACGTCATTCTCCCGCGCCAATCCTGTGCCAGGGTTCGAGGCGCTGGAAGGGTCTTTCCAGACCATCGTGAAGGTCGCATTAGGGTTCGGAAAGGGCCCTGGTGCAGGTGACTCCAGAGTTGAGACATTGCTGTGGCATTTTGTTGGGTACGAATTGCTACAACGGTGAATTACATGGCTGGAGGGGACGAATGACGAGCAATTAAGAAGGGCGAAAAATAGAGACGACCACGGTGATCCCGCACATTGGGGATATCTTAAGAGAGCATCGTATACTGTTACTCCAGACACTGTAAGACCAGAGACTCTATATGCTTTAATATTGGACCTCGTGTTTTAAAATAAACTGGGGAAATGGGCCATTGAGCTAATCCACGAGTCAAGTTGCGTCGTCTTTGCGTCGTGATGTCTCGGTGTCGGTGGGAAGTGTTACCGCTAAAGCTGGAGAAGCAGCGCTAAGACTTTCCGGAATAGCTTACACCGAGTATAATATGCGGGAGGATAACGGTATATGCTGGAAATGAGTAGCTGGAAACGTAACAAGCCGCATGACATCTCAGAAGCACGAACGGAAGCACCGTTGGTGGCTGACTTCAAGTCTAGTAGTCAATTGAATGTGCGGCTTGGACAAGCTCATCCTCTGCATTGGAACGGTAAAAAGCACAGCTGTAAGCTCCCCAATCGCAATTGGCGGGGCAGTTTCGAGCGACCCTCGGAGCCTCGTGCGGCGCTGAGTGTGGTGGGGTCGGCAGCAGCGACCACCAACGACATGGGTCACCACCTAAAAGTCTCTCCTTCACCACCATTCATCAACCCACACCACCACGCACCCCTCCCACCACAGCCTCGCGCGACAGCTGCCTCCCACCCCGGACCACGACCAGTCCAGCTCGAACAGCAGCCTCGCTTCCTTCCTCCACGTCGCTGTACCGAACTTCCCGTCTCGAGACGAAAAGAAGAGAAACTCGCCCACCATGGATATCCGCCTCCTCAAGTCCTCCGACCTCCCCCTCATACAGCACGCCAACCTCGAGAACCTGCCCGAGAACTACTTCCTGAAGTACTACCTCTACCATGCCCTCTCGTGGCCCCAGCTCAGCTATGTCGCCGTCGACGTCTCCCGCCCCAAGCGCACACCCTACGACTACCCTAAGATCGTCGGCTACGTGCTCGCCAAGATGGAGGAGGAGCCTACCGACGGCGTGCCTCATGGCCACATCACCAGTCTCAGCGTCATGCGCACCCACCGTCGCCTGGGTATCGCCGAGAAGCTGATGCGTCAAAGTCGTACGTGTGCTACCGTCGTCAAGGTCCTGCCATTGCCATTGTGGACGTCCTGAGCTGACATTGACCCCAACAGAACTGGCCATGGTCGAGACCTTCGGCGCCCAGTACGTCTCCCTCCACGTCCGTGTCTCCAACAAGGCCGCCATCCACCTGTACCGCGACACCCTCGGCTTCAAGACCGAGAAGACGGAGAAGTCGTACTACGCCGACGGCGAGGACGCCTACTGCATGAAGCTCGACCTCGGCTACATCCGCGAGCAGATCCAGGACGAGCGCGACCGCGAGGCGGAGGAGGGCGGTGCCGCCGAGGCTACTGACGAGGGCGATGCCGTTGGCGACGTCGGCCGCGACCCCAACGCCGACAAGAAGCGCAAGGTCAAGGTCGGCCGCGGCCTCGGTGTCGGAGAGCTGGTGGAGAAGAACGAGTCCGCCAAGAACTAGGAGTCTGGCCGTGACTCTAAGTTCGTCCCCTATTGTTTGTCTCCTATTGAGGCCTCCAAGGAGTTTTTGATGAATGGGTCGAAGCCAGTGGCAATCTGACTGGTGAATGATGAACCGTGAGGACGGGAGGCGCGATCTGCATGCGGACTTGTGAATCCCCGTATTGGGCACCATCCGCGTGAGACTTTAGGATGTTCATCTGCCTGGTGGCGTCCGAAGCTGTTCAAGAGAGGTGGCTCAAAAAAAGAGGCGTGTATACAGGGACAAGCATTCTAATGAATGCAAGTTTAAAACGATTACGACAGGATACGGCGCATCATAGCACGGTGACCCAAAAATAGACGAGGCATGGTAAATTACCAATGGAAGCAAAGAAACAAGAGTTCCCTCCCATATGTTGTGTATATATTACATACTCAACCAGTCTGTGTGTCTCGCTTTCACCAACCGGCGGCTTTTCTTTCTTCCTCCGCCACCAGCTCCCGCGCATACTCGGCATCCGCCTCGACGCGGAGCTTCTCGACGTTCCTGGATATCTCATCAATCTCCTCGATCAACCGCTGCGCCGCCTGCTCCCCCGTCGAACTTCCGCCTCCCGGTCCCCAACGACCGAACCCGTGGCCCCGCCCCCCGCCGCAGCGTCCTCTGCCCCTCCCGAGCGGAGGATTCTCCAGCTCTTCGTTCCTCTGGTCCAGACGGACCTTGTCCAGCTCCTCCACCTTCTGCGCTAGATCCGTCTCCATATCCTTCACGGCGTCGAAGAGGGACTGGGACGACGGTGGCTGCGGCGTGCTCGGTGACGCCGGCTCGACGCCGCCCCCTCGCTCTGCTGCTGCGGGCCACGCCCCGGGGAAACCGCCGTTGAAAGCCTCTCCGCGTCCGCGGCCGCGACTGTCCCATCCCCGCCCGAAGCCGCCCGCCCAGGGATGGAATCCCCCGCCGTACTGATGCGGTCCGTTCGGGACGCCCCACATGTTCGGGGCCGGCGGCGTGTGCGTCATCGGCGGTTGCGGGTTGATGGGCGGCACGGGTGGCACTGGCGGGATGTGGACTGGTGGGATGTGGACTGGCGGGATGTGGACTGGCGGGACGTGGACTGGCGGGACGTGGACATGGACTCCCGGAGGCGGGAATGGCGGCGGCGCGCCCCAGGTCGGGGACTGGTGTTGTTGCTGATGCGCGTGGTGGTGGTGTTGGTGGTGGTGTTGTCCCCTGCCGCCACCGCCGCTGCGTCTGCCCTCCCTCCGGCTCCGTCGCTCCTCGCGTCTCTGCTCCCTGCGCTCCCTCTTTTCCTCCCGTCTCTTCGCCCGCCGCTCCCGACGCTTCTCCCTGCGCGCGCCGCGCTGCTGGCGCTTGAGCTTGCGCCATTCCTGCGTCAGGGCCTTGATCTCCGCTTTCAGCGCCCTCTCGTCGACAGCGGCGGGTGGTGTCCCTGCAGCAGACGACGACGCCTGTTCCCGCGCCGAGGACCTGGCGGAGCGGATCTCGGAGCGCAGCTGCGCGACCTCGGCCC